GAGAAATTTTCTATATAGTTAGCACTTTTTCTCCCACTGTATACAATATTAATCTATGTCTTTCACCTGCCCAACTTTGTAAAATTTAACTTTATATTTTGACTGTTGATTACTATATACAATATGAGTTAGAAATATTTTTACATAAATAATTAATAAATTAGTGAAACTTTATAATATATACTTGTGAATATATATAGATATATCCTGACTCATCGTATATTGATATATCCTTTTCTATTTCTTGTTGTAGATGAGCCTTTATATCATCTATAATATCTGATGAAATCTTGTTTCTTTTTTTTTTTTTTTAACAATTTGGCAGTCATGCCTTTACTTTATTAGGCTTTGTAATAATCATTTAGACTATTAAAATTTTAGAGAGACTTATCGGTGAGTGATAAACTCTAAACATGTCAGCAGATAGCATATGAGAACTATCTCTAAATGACATGTGCTGCGCCCAAGGGCCACACAACTATACCTAAATTACAAGTAAAGACTAACCCAGTTGCTCACTGAGTACCTATGTTCGACCTGCTATAGTAGGATTCTCCTCTTTCTTGACCCCTCCTGCAATCAGTAATGGCATATTGTCATTTAAAAATAAATGACACTTGTCATATGATAGTCAGGGAATATAGCAAATAGGGCAAATTAAAAAATTTGGTTCTAGAATGATCTGCACAGATTTGATTGGCTTTTGTACAACTTCTTGCCAGCAGTTTTAGGAAATTTTTTACACATTTTATTTATTGCTTAAAACTTCTAAATAAAGGCATTAATAGATAGTAGAAAACATGTAGTTTAAATAATCCACAATAATCCACTCTAGTTAACCCTCGTTAAAAAAGTAAATAAACTATTAAAAAAGTAAACTAGATTTAGAATATTCTAGTTTGCATAATAATAAAATTTTTTCTATTCAGTTGATTTGATTGGTTAGTGATCATTCTTGGATTGACATAAAGAAATTTTCAGAATCATTAGATCAGTGTTCTATTACTATAAATGGTGTGATCAGCACTGTACATTTATAGTATATTCTCTGACTGTATGACAAGTTATTTTTGTCATAAAAAAATCATTTATTTTTTATGACTATACTTGTCATTTATTGTTTATATAATTTATAGACTAGCACATGCGAACATGAACAGCAATGCAAATTTTAGCTAATAAACAGGCTTACTGTAAATGCCAAATAATCAAATAATCATTTTTTAACAGCTTTTTATAGTTAGTATTAAATAATTATTCTAATGGCTCTTTATGAGTTGGCATTAGATAATTAATAGTTATCAGGTAGAATATAGATAACACAATGTCATCTACATTCTACCTGATAACGATATTATCTAGGAGTGTTTATTAATCATGTTACTTATATTAATTATGTAAATTATTATGTGGTTTCGTTCTCTGGGTTGTTTTTTTTTTTTTTCTTTTTTTTTAACTCAGAGACTTTTTAACATGAATTAAAATAATTGTTATGATTATATTAAAAAAAAAGATATATATCCAAAAAAAAAGAAATATTAAAATTCCGAATGGAATAAATATTAATGTGTAATATGATCAATAGTAACTACTGGATAATTATTATTCTCAAGTTGATAGTGATGTCAACAGAGCAAAAGCAGGCAAACAGAAAATATGTACCAGGTCGGTGCGCCACGTGTCATATGCGGCATAGCAGCGAAAATGTGATGACAAAGGTAAAAAAATAAAAAAATACTAAATTTTTTTAGCATAATAAGCATACAATAATTCAAGCGAATTTTAAATTTATAACGTCAAATTGCTAATATATATTAAGAATAGAGTAATCACTATAACTATATAAAACATTTAATTTGGCTAAATTACTGTGAATACAGTGGTTTAGCTCTCTAAAAACAATTTTATTCTCTTTAGCTAGTAGGTTCGCGTTAGTCACATTGTTGTTTTAGATATTTCTTGAAATTTATTAAACCACTGTTATTAATATTTATGAATAAGTCAACTATAAACTGTCCAATTATTACATTTTCCACAGCAATAATAGATGCTAATTCACTATAATTTTCAATTTTATATTCATAACTTGATGGAAGTATTTGTTGGAGTGAAATAGGTAAATCTGACAATTTGTTGAAATCCTAAATATGGTTTTATTTATTATTAAGTGCAGCCAACTAAAGTAAAATTTTGATTTACACAATTATACAATAGATTTTGAGAAATAAGTACGTTGAATAATTTTGAGTCCTAAATTTTTTATTTATTATATGAATATTAAATTTTTTACATTTATAATCATTTATTTATTCTTTTTTAATACAAACTTGTAATGAAATTTGTATTTTTATAATTATGATAAAAAATATTTTCATTATTTACATTATTTACATCAATATTGATATGGAAAGACTATTTAATTAAATAATTGCATAATTATAATATATATACATATTAACATGATCATAAAAATTGTACCTCTCTTCTCAAAATCTCCAACCAACTTTATAGCAATATCTGGATTCTATACTGTACCAACCTTTCTAACTGGAAAAAATCTCACCAAATTTCTTCTTACTCCAACTATAATACTCCACCACAATCTTCTCTACGCTCAATCAACAGAAAAAACAAACCTAATTATACTTACAGTTGTCCTAGTGGTTCCACTGACCAACTACATTCTGAAACTAATTCTTGTCCTTCTCTAGGACAAGCTACCCTTAAAATCAATACATAGTCCACTATGTGGATCAAATATAATTCACCTATTAACCAAATCCTAACAATTCAAACCTAGGTGAGTCTAGAAGGTTTAGGTCGCAGATTATTAGTTTAGCTTTTAGGTTAAACTCTTAGTTTAAGCTTTTATTCTTGCATATAATTTATATTTATTTGTTATTATACAAATTAAGTCTTTATATAGTTGATATGTAATTACTTATATAAATTAATTAATAAAGATACGAGCAAGGCCTCACCTTAATACCAAAAAAAAAAAAAAAATTCACTTTATTTATTATTTAACTATTAATAAATAATACATTATTAAGTACTCCCTAAGTTGCCTATGCTGCTTGCTTTTTTTTTTTTTTTAAGCAATCTTGTCTTTATTTATTGGAACTACTATTTAATAATTGTACCTACATTTTTATAGTGTAATATTCTAATCTAATAAAAACTTACCAAGCAAAATGCCCAATGCGACCCACTATAACAACAATTAGTTTCACTCAGGATTCAACACTTGCATTGAATTTCATACTGACAAGAGTACCCCCCTTTGATCATGAACAAGTTGTTGTCTACCTTGTCAAAATCACCCATTTTCCTTTAAAACTTTTTTATCTAGATCTTGGCAGAATAATTAAATCTCTTATATTTGTATAAGGGAAGAAAATAATGTCAAAATTTACAAAAGACCAGAAATTTAAGGCATATACAAACAAGAATTGAACAAAAACTCTAAACTCTATCTATATATAAAGGGAAAAAGATAAAAAAGCAAAAAAAAGACAGGCAAACCTGACACATATAAGAAACAGAGATGCACTATTATAACCTGTGCCAGGTTGATAAAAATTATATACAAGAGCAATATCTGTATATCTTTACTGTAAGACTATGCTTTATCGTTATTTTTCTTTTTGACCCAACTCCAGATTTTTTTAACAACCTAATTCATATCTTAAGTGGTGCTGCCACCATCCGTAGACCCGTATTACAAGCCACTTGCTGCTGTAATCAGAGATTTCTTTTTTGACTGGGAGCACTTGAACGACATATCTATTTTTAAACACATGTTGCCATTTACTAGTCTATTTAGATTTGGAGGTAAACAATGCCGATCTTTTGGAGGAGGTAAGCCAAATCCCCACTTTTTTTGAAAAATTTTGAAAAAACCAACAAGGAAGCAAGAAAGAAAGGAAAGAACCACTTGGCCAAGAAAATAGTGTGAGGCTTCTTTAAAACAGTTGTCTGCTATTCTCCAGATAAGTCAGGTGCATATGTAACTTTTTATCAGAAGTGAGAGACCTTTTCCATTAGAATTTTTTGTACAAGAGCACACCCTTCTGCCAGTTATCTTGTACAAGAATGCTTTTAACTTGCCTAATAAAAATATAGAAGAGTCCCCAAGCCAAAGCAGAGAGAAGACCAACTTGGTTAACCTTTATAAAAACTATTAATATGCATCTACTTCAGCTCTAACTCCAGCAAACTTCTATTTTTTTTCATTAAAAGAATTGGTCCAAATGATTATTGGAAAGAGTTCCCATCTATGCTGCTTGCTTTTGCTCACAGCTAAACAGACTATCTGTAATACTTTTACTAATATAATGCCAGTGTACTATTTGTACTCTTAGACGAATTTTGTATTATGTTAATACTTACTACTATCATTGCTTTTAATTAGAAGCTTACTTTACAATGAATTAAATAAAGACTAAACAACAATAATGAAGGTTAGTAATCTATATATAAACATGATATTGAAATAGCCAACAACAAAATGAATAAAGCTAAAGAAATAAAAAATAATTTAAAATTAACCAAATAAATTGAAAGAAAAAAAAAATACTAAACTAATACTAGCAACAAAAAGTACTAAAATGGACTAGCAACAAGCACCAACATGAAAAATATAAAACAGACTATCAACAAACATTAATATGAAGAGTACCAAAATTACTGAAATGGACTAGTGACAAACACTAATAAAAAGAGTACCAAAATCATTACTTGAAGATCTAAAAAAAAGAAATTGCAATAGTTAATACTAAGATAAAAAAAATGAAGAAAAAAAAGATACAAAATTAAAAGCATTAAGATATATTTAAATGAATTAAAGCATCAACTAACAACACAAAAAATGAACACCAACATGAGAAACACCAAAAAATAGATACTTAAAAACCCCAAAAAATTAGAAAATACGAGTCAGTAAAAAAAAAGAAAAAAAGAAACACCAAACTAAAAAAAACATATCAAAATAAATAAAAATGCAAACTATTAACACTAGCAATAAACACCAACAACGAATAGCAACAAAACCTTTATCTAAAGAACCTAAAAAAGAGAAAGCACAAGAGTTAATAGTAAGAAGAAAAAAAACATCAAACTAAAAATACTATCAACAAAAAATATACAAAATAAATAAAAGTGCAAACTACCAACATCAGCAATAAACACCAATAACAAATAGCAACAAAACCTTTATCTAAAGATTCCAAAAAAAAAAAAGCATAAAAGTTAATAAGATCAATAAACAAAATAAAGAAACAAAAAAAGCCCAAGCTAAAAATATCACAACAAAAACACACCAAAGTAGACAAAATTACAAACTAATGATATCAGAAATGAATACTAGCAATGAATATTAACAACAAATACTAACAACAAAAAGCACCAAAGCTATTACCTAAAGAATCTAAAAAAATAAATGTTAAAATTATTATTACAACAAAATTAACTACTAAAAAAAAATTAATAAAAAAAAGAAATGTAACAAATAAAAAAATCTGTTTATAAGCATGTATAACAGTAGTAATGATTACTACTGGTTATTTTAATTATAAATAAAATCTACAACAAATTTTCTTTTTAACTTTGAGCAAAGATATCTCGACATCCACTTGACTAAATATAATAAAATTTTTTAATTTAAATTTTGTAAATGTATAAAATTGAAATAAAAAATTTTTATTTAATTTGAACAGACCATTATTGAGATATCTTCATCAAAGTTAGAGAAAAATTTATATTTTGATAGATATTTTATTTGCTCTAATTTTGAGCAAAGCTACTTTGATAGCCATTTGACTAAATTTGATGAAAATTCTTTATTTGAATTCTATAAATTTATAGGATTCATATAGAAATATTTATCGAATTTGGTCAGATAGTTATTGATATACTTCACTCAAAGTTAGAGAGAAATTTGGTGCAGTATATATTTTGATAGGTGTTTTGATTTGTTTTATTATTTGTATATAAAATTCAAATCTAAAAGGTTTTACCAGATTCAAGCAGATAGTTGTCAATATATCTTTACTCAAAGTTTTTAAAAATTTTATTTTTATTGAGATCTGCAACACAGTCTATATATTACATGAGTGGTACTAACAAATTGGGAGGTGGCAATAACAACTCTCTAAATAAATTAATTTATTTATATTTTATAAAATTTTGGCTAAATGGGGTCTTTGCAGTAGAAAGGGCCGATACTGGTTTATATACTATTTTGAAAAATTGAGTTTGTTTTGTTCGGACTGATCTGGGTTAATCAAAATTTTCATGTTTTGATTGGCCAGTTGTATCGGGTAATCCCATGATGTACGAAACTCTCAAGAAATTTTTTTTAAATACCTCAATTTTTTATTATGCGAATCGATTTCCATTCATAATTGAAAAATATAGCCCGTGTTGAAATTTATCCGAATATAACAAAAACTCAATTTTTATTTTTGGGCAGTATCGGCCCTTCCTATTGCAAAGGTCCCAAATTATAAAAGGTTTATTAGTAGTATATTTTTATTTTCTATATAAAATTTATTGTCTACTAAAATTATATAACAAATAATTTCTTAACAAATTTGTAATTTAATATAATCTAAATATTTTGGTTTAAATATTAAGTAATATAATATAATATTATAATTATAATATACTTTATATAAAATATAGTAGTGTAGTATAGTGATTAAGTTGTTATACTCCTAAGCTAACTTGTAACTAAAATACCAAGTTTGAATCCTACTGGTAATGATTTAGACAAAACTACTTGGTTATAGTAACAGATCTTTATTGATAAGTTGGGCTTTACCATACCAGTATTACCAATGTACTAAAAAATTAAGTAAGTATTTGTATAATACTTGTAAAATTGAAAATTTATAAAACTCTTTTCAATGATTATCTGTTTCAAATTTTTTCAAAAAAGTTTTCTTCTATAACAAGTTAAAAAAGTAATAAGTAAGTTAAGTCAAGGAACTATAGCACCTGTTATTTAGAGGTAATTCTTATACACTACCTGCTAACAGGTTTAGAGTTTATCACTCACTGTTGTAACAGAGAGTACTTGTCATTTAGAAGTAGTTTATGTATGCTACTTGCTGACAAGCTTAGAGTTTATCACTTACTCTTTAATATTCTTTAAGTACCTGCTCTTTGCTTAGTTAACAAGTCACTAATATACTTTGCAAAAAAAGTATATACACTCTTTTGGTTTGGAACTACAGTCAATACTGTCTAATTGCATACTGTCTAATTGTATATACTCTCTAACTGTATAAAAAATTTTGGCTTTTAACTATTAACACAAAAATGGTTCTTATAACTTAAATATATATACTGTCTATATATATATAAAAGTCTCTGACAGATGATATGCAATTAGACAGTATTGACTATAGTAGTTTTTTTTACCTTTACTGCCTCTCACTGACCTTACCAAAAGTTTTGACAAAAAGTAAGCAAGCTAGCTTACTCCTTCCAAAAGATTGGCATTGTTTATACTTTTCATTTTCAGATAGCTAAAGTAGAACATAAACACAGAATTGTTTTGATAATGATGTACCTACACTATGTGACAAACCAATCAGCACTCTGGTTAATGAACTAACCCAGACCAAACAGTAAAGTCAGAAGAGACTTAACAATAAGGTGAAGCTTTATAACAGAGATATACAAAATTTTTAAATTTAGTATATAATTTTTACAACTGTGCCTAACACAGACTATAATATTGTTTTCATAAATTGTTTTTTTTCTGTCATTTTCTTCTTGTTTTATTTTTTCTTTTTGTTCATTTTCTTGTTGTCTAGATAGTTTTTTTTTTCTCCTTTCATATTGTTCTCTTTATCTTTAATGTTATTGTTTTTTTCATAAATTGGTTGAAGACTATGAATCTTTCTGCTTGCAAAGCTAGGAGAAAAAGGTTTAAAAAAGATGACAGTCTTGATAGGCCATAAATACCATTTGGTGATAATTAAAGAAATCATTTGCAGGGTTTTTTGTTATAGAGATAAACTTTACTATAGTAGATCAAACATGGGTGATTTGGGCACTTTGGTGTTGCAATGAGCTAAGTTAGCCAAAACTTGTGACTTAGATAGTGCTTTAGTTTACTTTAAAAAAAATGATATTTTATCTATAAGTTAAATATTTTAGCCTAATAAAGTTGAGGCAAGGTTGCTGAATTTATAAAATATATATATATATATATATAAAACTAATAAAGAGAATTTGAAGATTCAGAATTAGCTTGATAAGATCTAAGTTGGAAATAGTAAGAACTACAGAGAGTTACAAAACTGAAATAGACCAAAGCCTGATAAACTGAGAAAATTAAATATTATAAGATTCTAGAACTTGAACCTGAAACCTGACCTGCTTATAAAGATTTGATGTCTAGACTACTAGACTGTGGGATTCCAACCTCTATTGGACTAGATTTATATAATATTATATATTATATAATTCCTACTATTTAATTTTGAGTTATATACTTTAATGTTTTTAATTAGCTATATCCAAAAACTGTAATTAAGTGTAAAAATTTTAAGTTGTATATTTTACTGTTTTTAAATAAGTATATCTAAAAAACAATGATTAGAATATGAGCAAAAACTCAGATATATTTTAATTATAATAATAATAATTTTAATAACATTTTAGATTAAAGTTATTTATTAAAGTTACTTGCTAATTACAGTATTTGAATTAGTTATTTTCTAATTATTTTTTGATTATTATTATTTCTTGATTATTATTATTATTATTATTTTCTGATTATTATTATTTCTTGATTAGACCACTCCAAATTGATTCTTTGTTTAACATAACATTAAATAATATCTAGAGGTGGGGGGAGGGGACAAAAAAAACACAAAAATAATAATACTGTAATTTTATTGGTTTATTTAACATGTTTTGGTTATATAAAATTTAAAAAATTGAGAGGGTAAATATTATTAATTACTATTAATGTGTATTGGGTTCATATAAATTTTGAAAATAGAGAGAGGTTATGTTAAACAAAGAATTAAATTGGTCTGGCCTTATTATTATTTCTTAATTATTATTATTTCTTGATTTTGAATTTTTTATTTTCTGAATACAATATTTTGAATTTTTCTTAATGGGTATCTGTTTGGCCTTTGTACTAAATTTAGTACATACAAAAAAAATAATTTTGAACTAATAATTTGACCAAATTCAATTAAATTTTGCCAAAATATATTTAAATATTAGAACTATTTTTTTATACAATTTTAGTAATATTTATTAATAAAAATTTTATATAAGTTACTCTTAAATTTGCTGTATTGTTCTTAAATTCTGCTGTACTAAATTTAGTGCAGCAGTAAAAAAATTATAGTATACAAAGACTTGTAATAAAATTTTAAAAAAAATTTTTAGAATATTTGAGATCCAATTTTGAGTTTAGTATAGTTAAAAAAAATAAATAATAATTTTTTAAATAGCTAAATAAACCTGTTTTATAGTGATGCACATCTAAAAATAGTTAGTTTTTTATATATTTTATATAGTAAAACATAGTAAAAACATAGTAAAAAATTTATAAATTTAAATTACTTATAGCTACTTATATACTAAACCAATTTTAATGATTTTACTATTATTAGAATCAGAAAAATTATCTTTACAATCTTATTAAAAATTTAACAAATTTTATTAAGCAAATTTTTTGTTATTTATAATTTAGCATTTTGGAGTACACTTTTAAAAGCAATTTAATTTTTAAATATATTGATATAACTTTAAATAAGCAAGTTGATTTTAAATATACCAAAATAAAATTTAATATATGATTATATATTGAATAAATTTAATTTAAAGTTATTAATACCAATTTTTCAAAATTTAACTTTTAATACTGTACTAAATTTAGTACAGCAAATAGATACTTGTTAATTAAAATATTGTAATATTGTATTACCTACTTCTATTTATTTTTTGCTTATCTATCTATATTATTTTTTAATTCTGAGTTTGTATACTTCTATCTATCTTTATTATAGGTTTGTATACTTTAACATTTTTGATTAATTATATCTAACAAATATAAATATAAAAAACTTATATAGATATATGTAAAATATTTGCATTAATGTTGTTATCAATATGTAAATCAAAACATTGCAAATATCGAAACAACTAGTTAAAATATTTTTAGTCTCT